AAGACGGAATACTGGAAAATTTCATCTTTCTAATTTGATCACCGGGCAATCATCGTGAAAGAAGGGAGCCACCGTCAGTAGCTGGGAGGAGGGAAGATTGACCTCTTGAAGATAGCCAGTGTCCAGTCAAGCATAGGCGTAAAACAGACAAACAGCTGCCACAACAACGCTTGAGGGAAAGAAAATATTTTTGAAAATTAGTAGTTTTAGATTCAGATCCTGCTGTTCTTTTCTTACAGGTTGTTTAAAGACGTTCCTGAACTTCCTGAACTCTGGTCCCTAGGCAAACTTCTTTAATTGCTCATGAGGATCTCTAAGCTGACGATGGACAAACTGGAACTTAGGTGATCAACGGAATAAAATGGCGTCTGTTCACTGAAAAAGAGATCGCGAACAATCAGCAGCAATACATGAGAACGTGGCATTGTTCACTTGGCGAGCTATGTCTCGGAAACAAAAAAAGCTATTGAGGCCCTTAGAAGTGCTCATGGTCTGCACAAATCTGACCCTCCGCCAAAAAAGACCATCACAATCATCACCCCGTTATATCACACATGGCGGATAGCACAAGGGCCAGGAGCGCATCCTAGAATAAAATATGTTCAGATGTACTAGGCAGGACATTTTATACTCTGTGCTCAACATTTTTCATGGGTTCATTCAACAAGCTGATTTTTCCTCAGGTATGAGAAAGTCATCTAAGGTTGACAAGTAGAGATCAATCAAAATCGGGAAGAGAGTTCACCTTATTCTCCAAATCGATCACTGTCACTTGTGGGACTGTTTGCGGTTGTATCAAATGCTTCTCATTCTCCCGGACACATTCTGGTTTTCCGACGGATTCCGAGCCTATGGTTGTGAGGCTGGCATCACCTTGGTCCATTTTACTGAATCCGTTCTCCCGGACAGAGTCCACAACACTTCGGTTACTCGTCGCGGCCGCAGCCTCAGTCACGGCACGTTCCCGTTCGAGTCGTTCTCGTTTCTCTCGTACCAACCGCACGCGTTCCCGACGTGCCTCTCGTTCCAATGCTTGTTCCTGGGTTTGTCTCGCCACATCTGTGCGAATTCGTTGGTCCAGTGTGTCCCATTCCGACTCGATATAGGCCAATAGCCAACGCAATCCAGTTCGAATGGCTTTGTCCAATTTCTTTCCGGGTCGAAGAAGGGCACAGCACCGTTCCTGTGTGACAGATACAAAACAAAACCGCATCGTAACACTTCAAACGTATGGTTGTAAATTTATGCCATTTAGGATTGATTTGAGAAACCACCACTTTGATTTGCACATCACCTTGACTTGAGAAACTGTCATTTTGAAGTGAGAAACGAGTGAAAAACAACGTTCTATCTCCCATGCTCATAGGTCTTCCTTACTCCTCAGACAAACTACTGCAAAGACCAAAATAGGCAATTCAATCAGCCAGCGTCACCGCAGTAAGGCATGCATGGATCAGTGATTCTACGCCCTCGCCCCACTTAACGCGTAGTTAAACGTATGCGGTCAAATGAATCGCATGCCTTGAGGGGCACAAAAACATCACGGCGACTCGGAACCCGCGATCAAAAGCAAGGCGTGAAGACCGTGGTTAGATAACTCCACGATAAAGTGTTAATCAGTCGAAATAGCACAAGTCACTTTGTGCCCCGGACCAGTTTTCACCTTTAGCCGTGGACGTTGTGACTGCCTTGGGGACTGATCTTCGTCACAGACACAGCAACGACGTTGATCGAGCATGAGCCACGACCGCTCAGACGTGTACGCGTATCCCCAAGATAACCGAGATACATCATGATAATTTAGGCGCGTCTGACCGAGGCAAATTTCACAACCGTCTCCCCTGCGCTTCAATTGGAGGTTGGTAAATCTGTGCTGTATGCTGGTCATCCAGACAACGCTAAGGCGCTTAGACAGAACACGAGTCTGGCAGCGCTGATAAGGCCAATCATGACCAGCTGTACGCTGTACGGCTCAGGGAACGGTGCGTCGTCCTTCATGCTCATTGAGTAGGGATCGCCTTAGCTATCTCGCGCAAACTGCACAACTGAACCGACCCGCCGAATAGACGTCAGCGAGTGCGGTAACATGCACGACTGAGGTCTGCCTCATTTCACCACAGAAGAAACGTGTCGAGAAAAGAGGTCGATACGGGGGTACAAGAAACGTGTGATCCGTTGACCACTGGGGTGTGTTAGACGGAAGCGGATCTGACCACAGCATTTCTTTCTCAATTCAAAGTGATAGTTTCTCAATCTAAAAAATGGTATAGCTTCCATTGATTTGTATAACGAGCCCAATTAGAGAAATCGTTGGTTAAGCTGGGACGAAAACGACTAGCAAACGTGAGCCGAGGAAAGCCGGCTTGGGGATGCAGGGCCCAGTAAGCACAAGGTCAAGCCCTGGAGCAAAGGCGCGACCACAAATACCTAACAGGCCTGTCTGTCTCACACGACTCTTTTAAAGCTGTGCAGATAACGGTGCTCAAACATCGACAATCGGCATTTACCTCGTGTACACCTAACGGCCATGTCTCTGCACCATATAAAGGGACTGATCGCACTGTTACAAAATACACTCAACGAGAAGTCGCAGTGAAATCATCATCTTCGTATCGCCTGTTGAATACTAAATGATACAATCGAACTATTTGTAGAGAGACAAATAGCGAACAATATACGGCCGGTCAAATGAATGTCCACCACGAGAAATCTTGATTAGCATATGTACTTTCTTTCATGTACATTCAAACTTTGTTACCTCTCCATCAATCGGCCATCGAAGTTGTTTCGACGTTTTCGTAATGAACATGGAAGATGTCAACCCGAAAAGCAGTTTTCACATAGTTATGAACTCGGCCTCAAAATCACCAAAATGATTTAGCAACAATGCGTTAGATATACAAATTCGGTGATGTATCCTTTGGATACCACATGTACTGCGCAGTCTAGTTGCCACAATTCAAGTACAAATATCAATCGCCTTTTAGACTCGTCCCATAAACAATTTGAAACGATTGGTGTCAAAACAAAATATATGTAAGTTGTCCGAACCAATACCGTTGTGAACGAATTGATTTGAACCGTTGGTCATATTTTGGGACCGACTGGAGGTCACAGTTGAGAGAACTTCAAGGTTTACCTGTGTATGAATGTGATACACCAGTTATAATGTGGACTTTTTTTATTTATTTTGAGACCGGTGGTTTAATAAATAACCAGTAATTGAGGGAATTCACAATGGTGTAAAATTTGGCCTATCTCCTTCCAAATGGTGAGATTGTGAGATTAACTTATTTTCTTGGGTTTGGTTTGAGATTCATAAATACAAAACCCCAATCAGATGTGTAACTTTGATTATATCGGTATTGCTTTCATGGGGTTGGGGGGATTGTTAATATATTACACCAAGTCTGCTAAAAGTACGCGCTTTTAATGACCTTAGTTGACCGTAATGAATAGCGAAAAAGGGAGAAAAACAAGAGGATAAAGTTTAGACCATGGCGACAACCTTATGATATTTTAGTTTCTATCATCTGGTACGATCAAAATAGGAATAGTTCACTTGTTTTCTCGTTGACTAGATCGTACCCAGAAATCCGGTACTTATAACGTCGTGTGTGGACCGTGAATAAAGCTGCTTTGAGGTGACAAAAAAATTAGCCATTGTCAGGAAGGTGAACCAAGAATTTGCAGTTCACTTTCCATCGTTTTAAATACGAATAAGAAGAAAACTTTGCGTGCCTGACACTAGCTAACATTTGAAAGTGAACCCTGAAGATCATAGTTTCCCCTCAGAAATTCAAAGGTTAGTGGTTCTAGCCCCGGTAGGGGGTAGGATTAATGAGAACTGCTGACGGATCGCTACAAGGGTGAAATAACCATTTGCAAGGCTCCTTGTCCGCACCCAAAGAAGCATTTTCACCGTAAAAAATTTATTTCATTGATTGAGAATCAAGCAAGTCCCAAGAGGTGAAAACCGTATCCTAAAAAATAAAACTACAACGTCATATGCAGTGACTGCTGCCAGTGATAAGCCAGTAGGCTTATTCAAACACAAGATTCCTATATGAATATGCCTGAACTTATCATCATGCAGCAGACAGTTTGTGGAAAGAGAAAGGACTGATCAATAGTTTTTGTTCGAGAACTGACAGCTTGATAACTTGAATAAAAACATTCAGTGCTGATGTTGGTGGGTTCTTCGAGCTGATGCCGTTTCTTAATATGACCGCAAAATGTCAGCAAACAGCACTTCCACCTAGGAATACCTTTGAAAGCTGAAACACTTTCCTCGAATTACCACAAAAACATTCTATCCAAAATACAAGTGCATTCTCTGTCATTTAAGATTGTGCCAAATACATAAGAATATACATCACATATCAAAAGGGACAAGTTTTTGAGGTAATGAAATGCTACAGATATATATGGTTTCACGCAATGTGCCAGTAAAATTATGGTACTCGTAGACCGCTTTTGTAATGCATTCTATTGAAGTATGACGATTCCATCGTTTGNCAGCGCAGCACATTTTACATTCAAGCAAATTTGACATGAGAGAAAACTAAGTTGAAATAATATGAAGTTGGATTGGGCTGTTAAAATGGTGTTCATTGGTTTATATGTGGACCAATGGGCGAGGCTTATTTTGTAGGAAAAACAGGTAATCACACTACGTACAGTGATTCTCGTCAACTGCCCCTGTGTCAATAGAAAGCGAGAAGGTTGCAGGTCAAATCGGGACTGGTTTGACAGTAGCTCATTTTCGGTGATCTCAATTCGAAAATCATGTTTGCATTAAGNATTATAATTAAGACCCGGAAATTCCGAACTGCTGGAGATTTTTTCCACGAGTGAGGAAGAACTTTCAACATTCCTCTATGACACGTGGGTGTTAGGGGCGAGAACTGAGCTGCAACAGAATAATCGACGTATTCCATTATTGATGAACAATACGATTGTCTTGCCTTTTGCATGCAATCTCTCCTAACTTGCAGTTATTTGATTGTGACCGAAAAAAACTTTTTCTGCCCCTTACCAATCTGCATGGACATCGGTATTCGTTTGCCAAATAATCAAGTTGTAACGCATGAATCAAGTCCGCCTCATCCATGGCTTCTTCAACGTCTTGCTTGTTAGCCAATCTGTTAGCGAAGAAAATTTCATTACGGGAACAAGAACACATACAACAGAACTGGCTTCCCGCTAATTGACGGATGCGCAAACAGTTTTCCGAGCACAGTCTGACATTCTTCGAGACGCTCCGGAGCGCTAGAATCAACCACAAAAATGACCCCGTGTATTTCGGCAAAGTAGGTTTGCCAAATATCTCGGATGGTACGTCCACCTCCCAGGTCGTACAGATTGATATTAAACCGGTCCACGGCAAATTCGATTCGATCGAAACCGATCGTGGGTGCAACGAGATCGCTGGAAACTGGAACAAATGAGTGAATAATCACGTGTGCGGTTCATCATTTACTTACCTCCTTTAATACTACGTGTTGTTGTGGTCTTGCCTGCATTGTCCAAGCCCAGAATAACTAGATACACTTCCCTGGTAATTTAAAGGAAAAGAAACACAGGATGAAATAACTGCTGTTTGTCACCGAAAACGTAGAAATCATAAATTTCCGGTATCATACTCAGGATTGGTTTGAATGAAAATACTTGACGTCACTCAGACAACGATTCAATTCAAATGAATGGTTTGTTTTACGAACGCCAAGAGCTGAATGATATAGGGTGACTCAAAGACCCGAGAATTAGACATAACACGAGTATATCGCAATCCACCAGAACAGGCGGAAGTTGTCCATGCAATCAGAATAAAGGATCCATCGGTTGATAAGTTCTGGATAAATACTGCTCACTTTTGGTCTGAGTGCTTGATTTGACATTTTGTTTTCTTATTCCGTTGAAGCCTAGCCTTGTTCCACTGGTTACTTCCCGCGCTGTCCGTCTGAGTTTGAGCATTTCAATTTGTAAAAGTATTAAGCCCACAAATCTTTTATTCGGTTTCGGTGACCTTCTTCTCGCTAGGCCCCTAGATAAAATTAGGTTAAACCTAGACAGAGTTTCACTCGGTGGCAGAATGCGAACAAATGGGATAGATGTGGAAAGTACACAGCTTTTCTATCCCATTCAAACATATTGCCCAATTTTTAGACCTGATCACCGATTAACCTGTGCTTGGGACGCCTAACACGACCTATTTAGTCAAGTTTATCAGTTGCAATAGTTATATATATATATATATATATATATATATATATCAATGAATATTAAATGCTGTGTAACCCTATTCTCTGACAGCCAACAGATGTCTCTCGCAAGATCGCGAACTGCTGGTTCCCTTCAAGCAAAAAATCAATACCGCTCGTATGACTGCTCCATCAAGCCAATACTATACTTTACAAACAGTAGTACTCAATCCCCACTGATCAGATTTTATTCTCTGCACATATGTGACATATCTGCACAATGAATTAGGACTCACTGGACTGTTGTAGTATTCAATCCTTCAATCATAGGTAAATATCACAGCAAGGCCACAGATGACTGAACGCACTCAATAGTGAGGGTAAAGTGGTATAGAACATATATGACACATATCACATATATATATCATATATATACATATATACATATCATATATATATCACATATATGACATCCGTGTGCCGTATAGTATTCAGTAATTTCGAATCACCCCACCACCAACACCATTTTTTATTCCTTATTCGGTGACCATCAAATCGGTTTCAGTCCACTCCCAGAATATTGATTGTATATGTTAAATAAAGGGAAGCAAGGAAGCTACAAAAACGAGTCTTATTCATAAATTGTAAACGACATTGGGTATGCTAGACGAAAAGTCCTAAAACATTCGATCACAAAAGGATGCGGGTTTTGCTGTCCAAGCTGAATCATTATCCATCTATACTGTTGCTTTTTGGTTAGAGTAAGACTTAGGGAGAGAGAGAGAGAGCAAGAATTCAACCCAATGATGCAGCTACATACCAAGCACAGCTACACCAACACCCGCGCCGTTCATAAAAGTTCACCAATTCATTCAGCAATGCAATTTCGTCTGTATACTTTACTCATCTGGAAGCTAATTCACACAAAACTTCATGTCATTATTCTTCATAAAAGTCTTTAAAATCTTGAAATGGAAAAGAAGTGTAAAGCGTGTTGAAGCTTACGGCTCATTTCTAAACAAATTAACGATAATAGGATAATCCTCAACAAATGTAGGCTTTTAAGCGCCCTTAGTTAATCATAGAAAATCCCAATATATATTGTCCCTTTTACCGCAATTGTTTAAATATTTTAAGGGTAATATATTGAGTACTTTGGTAGTGGGGCAAAGAAGTAAGCTATTTAAAAACTATTCCTTAAGCGCTAAATCAAGTGGTAATTTACCTGTTTCATTCGGTTACTTCGAAGTTTTAAGATATAAACAGCCTGGTGAGAAGACAACCTACTGGAGAGAACTGTTGATGTCTTGTAAGTTTGATGACTGAGTGAGAGCGAGGGAGCAAGGAGTAGTAGTAGTCTTCATCACGGTGAACCTTTAGGTAGGAGACATCCATAAAACATCCCTTTCCGTCCTTCCCTCTCTCAATTCCTTTTACTTTCAAATATAACCCGATGTGTTCTGTGTTTGCCAGCTGGAGCATTTTTGGCGGTAAAACTAAGCAACATATCGGACCACAAAATATCTACGTATCACCCTTATCTCACCGTACACAACGTACGCACTTTCTCTTCGATTGATTAACTCCGTTGGAACTTCCAAAGGCTTCAATGCAGTGAGGTTCCCGTTTTGGTAGTTCAGTAATCTTCTGCCAATCCAGTCTCACCGTTGTGTGTCTCGTGTCATATGAAACTGGTGATCGGTGGTCGGATTTGTTCTCGGTTTTTCCGTTACCAATTTGGTTGACCAATGAGATCAGGAGAATTCAGAGAGTTAAAACTCAACAACTTAGCCCTAGATGTAGAGTAGGCACATAAGCGCCATTGTTTACCATAACTATTCATATCATCGATATTTTTACCATTTATTCGGGTTGTGACAAAAATCCTGACCAGGAAATTTGATGTGATTTATGTGAGTGCGTTCTTTGGTCAAACTTTTCATAATGCCAGGTATGATTCTATCCACTCTTAAACTTCTCTTCTTCATTATCTCTCTAGGAGAATATGCTAAGGATGTTTAGTCGGCGACAAGCATTACAAGTGACTCAACCAGCGCAATGTACGAAGGTGCGTGACAGAAAATACTTAATACTTAACCAAACTTCAGCTTTACTCCCTGGTTTTCCAACCATACCCATGCGTTGCGGTGTCAATAGTGGTTTTCTAACTCTGTTGTTCTGTTTCTGTCCATTCCCAAAACGGCCACGTCTTAGTATCGTAAAAAAGGATTGGATGGACAGCTGTGTAGTACATCCGGCCCCTCAATAACAACTAACTGTTGCGGTGATACCATAAAAGTTACCGGTTGGTACACTCCAATCGAGCCTTTTATATGCGTGCCGATAATTTTATCTGCGTTTCCTCCTCCAGGAGAGATGTAGATGGGCAAATATGAAAATGTATCTGTATTTTCTATTGCCTCTCCTACAAAAGACAAAGTGATGGCTAGAAGAAAACAATCCAACAGTACCATCTCACACTTTAAAGACGTAAACTTATGCCACAAATTTTAAATTCAAATTCAATAAGCTTGGGTTGGAAGAGCGTTCTAGTTATTACAAACGCTGAGGCTCAAAGAGTGACGCCTGCAGTCTAGCCAACTCTTTTGGGGGAAAGGTTTAAACGCATGTCCCCTGAGGTGACCATTTGTGGATACTGTTAGAAGAGTACTGCACGGGTGGTTAGATTAATGTAGTATTTGATATACGAGGACCATGTCTCCCCGTCTTCAATGGTATTCAGATGTATAGTCCAAGGATCTGCAACCTCTCACCGTAGGTTTTAGATTGTAACCTTTTGACCATTTCTGTTCCTGATCTCTACGGTCGTTCAAGTGCCTTTTGATAGCGAATTAGCCATGAATTCCAAGCTTGTGTAGCATACTAGGTTTGGAGTCTAACGTATGCTGACAACAAACGTGGGAATATGTTTACTTAAACGATCAAAACACAAATTTTAGTTATTAAACTTGCTTTATAGCCTTTGAGGACGCTCTAACGCAATGCATGGAACATCCTAGATCCTCATAAACGAGAACCTCCAAATCCTTTTCGTTTGGAGCACACCATAGTGGCTGATTTCCAAGTACGTATAAAAATCGACCCCTGTGGCACAACGATAGAATCTTGCGTTTCTCAACGTTGAATTCGCGGTCATCAGTGTTGATCAGTCAGTAAGCTGTATTGAGAGTTTCCTGTGGGGTTTGATAATCTTCAGCATGTTGTGTGGATCTCTATGTTTTGGCATCGTCAAAGAATAATAGTGCCTTTTTTCCAAGGACAGGTGGTAGCTTGTTTATGAATAATAGGAAAAGGTACGGACTAAGGACGGACCCTTGTCGAACTCTACGGACCGCCTCAATTGGTCTCGATAGAGAACCATTGGCTCCAATCGGTGCGGTAAGTTGTCGACAAAACTCCTCAATCCATTCAGGGAGCAGTATGCGGTCGTTAATCCTGTCAAAAGCTCTGGAGAAGTCTGAGTAGATTACGTCTGTAACCTCTGCTGCGCCGATTGATATTTTCTAATTATCTCGTGCAGGTAGCAGGTTTTTGGTGCACGAGCGTTTTCTTCGAAACCAGTGTTAGGTCGGCTAAAGAACGTTATACTTTTTGAAGTGCTCTATCATACAATCAACAACAATTATTTCCATTGCTTTTGACAGAACAGGAAGACGTGTAAGTAGACGGTAGTTCGCGGGATCAGTTCGGCCGCTAACTTGTAAATAGATGAAATAATACGGTCTTTCTAGGACGGAGGAATTGACCTCTTTGTTAAACATACTTTGGTATGAACGAACAACTATTTTATATATTTGATTTGCCCGGGATTTCAGAGTCTGTGGGCGGATTTTGTTTTCTCTAAGGGGTGAATTCTTGCACAGCGCCCATAGTTTGGCTTTCACGGTTTTAGGTTCGAAGATGATTGTAGTAAATAAGAGTAATGGACCCTTGGCGGAAGGTTTGAAAGCTACATTTCGACTTTTTCACCCGTGGAGAACACTTCATAGAACTGCACTTTAAGGAATTCGACTGCTGAAGTAGTGGAAAAGCGTCCTGCATGCCTTGGTATCAGTATTCCATAGTTTACTTATGCTTATACAAGAGGTTTGGATTGAAAATAAATCTATGTGGCAGGGTTTCTTGAAACCCTCGTTTATCCTTTCGCACTAATTTCACACAAACTTTTCTTAACATTATATGGTATATAGTGTCGCGATTGGACATCTTTTGAACTCTTGCCAGAAGAAATTACCCTCTTTCATCCATTTATTTGTTTGACTGCGAATAGGTGATAATCGTGTTGGTAATTTACCGATAGGCTCGGTGTTTTAGCAACCTGTATGAGTTTTATTGGAGTGTTAATAAATATTTTCCAGGACTCTAATGGATCAAGCTGGTCTTTTGGGCGTATCCGTTCCTTGAAAGCAGCAAGGTTCACCAATTTTCTGTAGTCAATAAGGGTGCTTGTGTTGGTTTTCAGGTATTATTCTATAAAGAAGCGGTAAATGTAATCGAAAATCAGAGCTACATAGTCGCTGTATTCTAATAGAGAAGTTATTTTGATAGATCTTACTATAAGCTCCTCGCCTGCCAATACCAAACCAATGTTGAGG